CCTGAACTCAGGACACTCGGCGGCAAATCCTCGCCTCCAAGTCACGTTTCCAGATATACAGTGAAGCAAACTCTCACCGGGAACGGAGGTCTCTTTGGGAATGTGAGCCCGAGAAGATGAATGTGATTGGAACCTGAGACCAGGGGGATAGTGGCTGTGAAGCACTGCCACATACAGAGGTACAGCAGAGAGAATATGCTCCAACCATCTGAAAGGTCACTATCAACACACTCAGGGATTTAAAAGTCCCGCTAGGAACTAATTAAACCTTACTTCATCCTTTGCTCAATTGTTTCATGATTTGTAATTTTTTAAAATTGACTTCAGAGAGAGGAAGGGAGGGAAAGGAGGGAAGGGAGGGAGAAAGGTTGCTTTGTTCTATTGATTTATGCATTCGTTGGTTGCTTCTGGTATGTGCCCTGACTGGGGACTGAACCCACAGCCTTGTCGTATTGGGATGGCGCTCTAACCAACTGAGCCAGTCAGCTAGGGCTCAACGGTCACACATGATGTGACTTCCTGACACCCGTCTCCAGCAGGTCATGCTGATTTTTGAAAATGAAACAAAGAAAAGGAGGACAGCAGCTGACATGCATGGAACACTGGCCCCACGCTCTACCGGTTTCACACTTTAGCCCACACAGTCCTCACGAGGGCCCACTCATTCTGCGGAGAGAGAACCAGGGGCCAAGCAATCTGGGCCTCCCTTGGAGGAGGGCGCCGCAGAAAGCTAGGAGAGGGAAAGCAGTGTGGTGCCCTTCGGCCTGATGGGCTCGTTCCAGCCTTCCAAGAGCTGGGGCACAGCGGGGCATGGCCGCCCTTTCCTGCTGAGCACCCACTGGAGGCCGGGCTCCGATGCAGGAGGAAGTCAACTGGCCGCATGGGCCCCAGACCACCAAGGGAGAAGCTAGAGCGGCTGATCTCACAGAAAATGGGATTCCCTACTAAACTTTAAGGTCAGGCAGAACAGGGTTCAAACCCTAGTTCCACCTCCAATTAACTTCTAACACTGGGTAAGTTCCTTACCCACCCAAACCTTGGTTTTTCTGCAAAATGATGCTGCACACACCACCTCATTCAGAGTTTTAGTCAAAACTACCGAGGAGAAAGTACCTTGGCACACAGCACTCAGTAAATGTTATATATTATAAAGCCTTTTTTAAAGAAAAAAGATGTATGAAGTGCATCTTAATAGTGACTACTTTTTAAAACTTAAAATTAAATGACTTAAAGCTTTTGGAAAGGTTTGTATGACTTGTCTTTCGAATGAAAGAAACAAAGAAACTGAAGGATGACATCACATAGAACGCTCTCCCCAAGGACAGGAAGAATGTTCCCAGGCCACGCTCTCTCGCACCGGTCTCTGGGTCTCCAGGAACAGCCGGGAGCCTTGGGGCTCTCAGAGCCCGGCCCTCTCAGCAGTGGCACCCTGCCCATGGGACTCGCAGGACATGTTCGCAATTTGTTTTTATTTTTAGACACATCTGCACATGCTGTTTGAAAAACGCCAGACCTCACAAAACCAGGGCAATTTACCCTGAGTCTCTCCAAAGCTGTAATTGTCACTGCCTTCCTTATTCAGTCAGAGCACAGCCTCATCTTTCCACAGGCAGCAAAGTGCAACCACACAGCCCTGCCTGCCTGGGACTTGGCGTCTCACCCTTCCGACACTGTGTCTTTGGAAAGTGACTAGATCTGATGTCTGCCTCAGCAAACGGATTCTACTCAATTTAAGCACTCCCTGGGCTCATGAAGGGCAACCTCCTTAGGTGTCAATGGTAGGAGGCATAAGACTTTGCTTGTAACTTTAACCTTGGCACCCAGAAGCTGGGGGTCAAGGAGGAAAAGAGGGCCAGCACATCCCAGCAGCCACCCATGTGACTGACTGGACAATGGTGACTAATTTTCCTAGGAGGTGTAAGCTGGGTTTCCTCTGTACTTCCCACTTTTTCAAGTCTGTTGTCTTGTGACCACACAAGCTAATTAGAGTCGGCGCACAATGTGGTGTAAACTAACGCCCACCCCACCCTCAAACCTCCATCCTTTGATCTACTAGCTTTATACTCAAACCATCAACCCCCTGCACATAAGATCAGTAAGTGATTTATTCAACTGAGCAATCAATGCCCTTTAGATACTGATGCAACTGTGCTTCACTGGCCAATAGTAATGGAAGATCAGGCCAGAGAAGAGGAAAAGTGGCCATTGGTTCTAAACAAAACACTGTACTACTAAGAGGGCTGACTTTGTACGTGTTGCAAGTCGGATTAAAGTGGAGGAAAGGCATGTTACCAGGTAAGCTGCTGAGAACAACTCAGCTCTGAAACAACAGTTTGTAAAAGTCTGGCCGTTGGGTGACGAACAGAACCGCCACCCCGAGTGAAAAGCACCTCTCCTCTGTGACACACAGAAGGCCTGATGCCAGCATGGAGAGCTCTCTTAGCTTGGCATGAGCGGGTCACATGTGGCAGCTAGTTCCAGAAACCACAAGAGCTTTGGGCTTAAAGAATAATGTTGCAGGAGATACTGGAGCATCAGAAGGGCGAGAAGAGCAACTATCCTGTCTGGAGGAGCAGGAAACAGCAGGAGCGACTCGCTATGCGTAAAGCGCATTAAAACACCCTTGTTTCTGGCATATGCATTATATGCGACTTTAAATGGGATTTTAAAAAAATTACCATATAGTCAAATTAACTCTCTGGAGGGAAGGGTGTACAGTTCTGTGAAAAGGCACAGGTATACCTCCTTATAAGCACCAATGAGAGGACACAAAAAAGTTCCATCACCCCAAAGATGAATTCTACAAATAATTCCTCCAAACTTACGTTAGTAGAAAATGGGCACAATGAACAATAAGGGTGGCAACCATAATTCTCCACTTGTCATCAAAATTAAGTGCCAGAAACAAAACACTGCACCCCAGCTTCTCGTACACTGCCACCATGCTGTTTTTGTTGGCCGGCAACCTTCATGTGTTTCTACATTATAAAATTTGAGATGCATGTTGTTTCTTTCCTCGGTGCGTCAGGGGCTTCCTGGACAGCTCTGAAGAGTGGCAGGTAAGCCATTCTTTCCTGTGGGACATTATCACCCAATCAAACCTCTACCATGGTTGATTCCAATTTTCTTCTCCCTGATTATTAGACAATTCTGTTATTCCTTTGGGATAACCCAAAGGAACCGGGCCCCCTCCAGCTCCCGGACAGCGGGAACCGCTTAGTAACTTAGAAGTGACACCAAAAGGGAAAGTGTTAATTAAGTGTGTCGATGTGATACCCTTCAATAGATTGGCATGTTGACTACCTTGTCTGCTAGGTCCTAACTGGCCTATTGCTATTATTAGTGCTTTGTATGTGGTGGTGGTGAGGACATAAAACTTCTCTCTTAAATTACTTCAACAAGGAGATGGTGCCTCTGGTAAAATCCACATTCAGTGGCAGGAGTTTTTACCTGACAAATTTTAAAGGCTCCATGAATTTCACTTCAAGGGCCATGTGCAGATAGGTTAACCCACTAGCAGTAACAGGCTGCGCTGACTCCCACCTTCCATCTTGGAATGGAATCCAAGAAGCTCTTCATTCATTTAGCAAATGTTTATTGAGCACCTACTAAGTTATCAAACCCTGAGGCGGTGGCTAGGGGTGGAAAACTTAAAATACAAAATCTTGAGCAAATCTCATTATTGAGAGTGAGGGAACTAACAGGGTCCTGTACGGTGATAAAATCCCACAAACTAGGTAGGGGTCATTGTTTTTAAAAAAGGGCGGAGTAGGGTTGGGGGTGTGGAAAGCAAAAGAGCTTCCTCTGTCCCTCTTTATATACCAAATCAGGCCCAGAGCTCCATTTCCTGCAACATTAACTTTGTGACACCCTACACATTGCCCCGTGTGCGTTAAACACTCCAAAGTTACTTTTTAAAAAAAGAGAAATTGAACATTTCCGACTCTGAAGCGTTGAGCACTATTCCACGCACCCTTGTCTGGTTACCTTTGGTGCGTAAAATTCTTTCCGATAGGCCACCTGAGGAATCGTTTTACCTCTGTGAAAACACCTGGTTAAAAAAAAAAGTATGTCTAGGTAGACAGGTCTTCATAGGGTTTGCTGCACAACTCACCGATAAGGAGAGGGCAAAGTCTGCGTGGGTAATCACGTTTGCAAAAATAGCAAAAGTGAGAGGTCAGGGGCAGCGGCGAAAGCCCCAAGCTCCAGTCGCGGCCGCCCGTGAAGGCCTGTGGACAGCCAGGGTGCACACCCAAAGGAACCGGGCCCCGTCCAGCTCCCGGACAGCGGGAACCGCGAACTGCGCCGTGGACGACCGGGAGGGAGCGCTACGCCCCCTGGCGGCGGGGCCCGTCTCCGTCCGCTCCCGGCGGCAACCGCCGCGAGCCGGCCTCACTCCATTTGCAGACCCCGGAGGTAGCGTCCCTCCGAGCGCCGGCTCCTCTGGCCTCCCGCGCCCCGCTCGGCATCTCTCCACAGTCCCCGCCCCCCTGTTCCGCTCAGACACCCCCTTCTTCACGCCGAAACGTCCCCGGCCGCAGCCCGGCCGAGCGCGGGCACCGAGTCCCCGCGATCTCCGCAGAGCCTTCCGGCGGGCCCGGCTGCTGCATCGCGGCGCCAGGCAGGGGAGCGGGGCCGGCGCACGGCGCGAGTGGAGTAAGCAGCGGCGGCAGCACGGACTCTTCCACTCCGCGCCTCCCCCACCCCCGCGCGGCGAGCGTGCTCCCGGGGACGCCATGGAGCTGCCGCGTTCCGAGCGGCACAAAGGGGTGCGCAGCACAATGGGCGCGGCGAGCCCGTGGGCGCCGGGCGTTTGCTCGGCCGCACGTCCCTGCGCGGGGGTAGGCGCTCCTCCCGCCGGGCGCGCTCAGGGCAGCCCCCCTTTGCGTCCCCTCCCCTGCTCCCGCCCCCACCCCGGCATGGATGTTGCACCACTCTCTAGTCCGTCTGCCCTGGAGCTGCCGCCGCCGCGCAGCCAGCTTGGTCCGCCCCGCGCTTACCTGGGACACGAGTTCTGTACTTTGCAGAGCGGGCCCGCGCCGAGTTTGGGCGCCACGTGGGGTGCGGGGTAGCGCAGGTCCGGGGAGCTGGGGACTCGCGCGACGGCCTGGCCGGGGCGGCCCGGGGAGTTCCTGGGGGCGGCGGGCGGGCGCCGTGTATTTTCCCCTCTCTTTGTGTGTGTCCGTGCGCTGCGCTCTCGCGTGACGTGACGGGACTCCGTGTGTCATTTCCGCACAAGGACACAGGAGCCCCCGCCGCATTGGAACCACAACCCCTCCGCCCCCACCCCTGGCCCGCCCCTCCCCCTCAGCGGGGCACACGCGGGACCAGCGGCGGCGCTCGGGCGTGAACGGCCGCGGCGGGGAGCTGGGGCGCGCAATCCGGGGACCCAGGCGGCCCCGCGCGCTTGGCGGGTGCCGCGCTGCTCCACGTGGGCCCGCGCCGGTTGCCCGGGCGTGGGGCGGAGGCCGCGCACCCACGGCGCTCCAGGGCAGCGCTGGCTAACAATGACTGATCCCTGCACACAGTGTATTCTCTCCTCCGCGAGTTATCTATCTAAAACGTGGTTTCTCAGACCCCAGGAGTTTGACTTGAAAAGCCTCTTTTTTTACTTTTTTTTCTTCGCGGGACGGCAACTGTGCGGGGGCGTTTCCTCCCCTATCGCCCGCGCCTCTCCCGAATTCTTGGCATTTCCGTGGTTCCTTAGGCCCCCAGGCGGGTGTTCCCGCGCCGAGCCTGGGCACAAAGACATAGGGGCGCAGGGACCCCAGTGGCCCTGAGAGCCGGCATGAAGTCGAGGGCTGTTGGAGAGCGACCGGAGCGCTGGGAAACGCTGGCTCTGGCCACTCCCCCAGCGCAGTAGCCGCCCTCTGTTGTGAGCTCGAGAGCTAAAAATCTGCCTTCTACTTGTAATCCGAAGTTTTGAGGCTGCAAAGTGAGAGATTCAGAAGTGCGCGGGCTCACAGACCCACATACCACACACAAACCCACGGGATAGCTGCACCCAGCGCTTAAAATAGAAAAACACGTGTCACCATCTGAATAAAGGCTGATTCTTGAGACTCCTGTAACTCCGAACTGGAGATTTCAACCTGATAAATACACAACCTACCACTCGGGTATTTTCTCAAGTCTCAGTGACTTTAAGGGGTGGGTGTGGTGGGTGAGGGTCGGAGAAGCCCAATCCAACAGTTAAACCACGTTTACATTTCAGGCTAACAGCGAAAATGTAAATTTTAAAAAAAATCCTTTAATTTGCCTATCGAAGTGTAAGAAGGAAAATGCAAATGAGCCCATCTGCTGCTCCCAGCTGACTGGCTGCTAGAGAGGAGGGCCATGTGGCCCAGCCCGGCGCGGTCAGTGAATAGGTAGAATAGATTTTAAAATAAGACATATGCTGGATCCTTGCTGCCTTGTCCCGGGAAGGGGTTGAATTAACCGTATAGTTTTCGATTACGGTATCCTTCTTCACACCACTCCAAGTGAGAATTTAGTAATTCTGTAATTTCCTCCTCTTCGGGTTTGGAAAAACAAAACAACAGGATTATCCGAGACCACTGAGGAACTGCAAGAGACATCCTCGAACTACATTTGGATGGCCCATTTTAAGAAGTCGGTACTAATTGCTATGCAAAATTAGCTGGCTGCCAGGAGAACGGAGCTCAGCATCCAGGGGGTGGTTTTAAAAAAGAATCCATACGTTCTCAGTGTCATTCAAAACAGGATGATGAAAAGAATGGAGTCGAGATAGCAGCCCTTCAAATTCAAAAGACTTGAGTCGCCCTATCTACATGTAAAATAGGGCGGAGGGAGGGTGGGGGGAGGGCCGTTGGGGAGAATAGTTAATTTATACGTTCCCAGAAGACAGAATGGAGGTGCTTCGATTTCTGCCTAGGACTTGACTTTTACACTCGTACTAAGTAACACATATGACGTAGTACATTGCTTGACTTAGTTAACAGATGCAGCAGTTTTAGTCTCACCTTCGGTTTAATGTGACAGTCATAATTAGAATTTTAAAAGTATGAACTGTATTTCATTAGTTCAATTTTCTAGGATTTCCCAGTAGGAGAGTTAGAAAGATTTAAGACTAGCATTTAAGTTCACTTTGCAGTTTTAAGTGGCCTGCAAAGTGGTTTAAAAATGTAAAATTTTTACAAAGGGGATTAGATGGAGTGTGTTATGAAGAATATATCTTTAGTCACTCACTGTATCAAGTCAGGTATTTAAAGATACATAACACAAAACAATAGAAGTAAAATAGAAATTAACATTTCTTTGTTCATATTGTTTGAAACCACAGACTGTCAAATAGAATAGTAAAAAAATAGCATCTAAGATAAGCAACACAATTCACTGACACAGTTGACTTTTCAAAGCATATCCCTTTATCTACAAAGTGACCTTGGGAATTATTGTAAATATGTGTCTTAATTTGCATATGTGGATCAACCTACTCAAAGTAAGCTGTTTATTCCAAATAAGTTATTAATAGAAATGAAAATCATTGCTCTCTAGGGAAGAAAACTATCCTCAAATGGTTTTGTGTATTTATATGAGGTTTTGTTTTTTTAATGTGTTATAAAAAATTCAACTGAATAAACTGAAGATCTAGTTGCTTATTAAGCAATTCATGAATCAGGCAGCATCCCACCTAAAAGAAGGATGGGGTTAGGCAGCTATTAAAAAAAAAGAAAGAGAAAGGATTATCTGTAGGCCGGGACGTCTTCCTTAGGGGAGGGAAGCAAACGACATGGTTTTTATCATGCAGATTGCCTCTTCTTCCTATTGGGGGTGGGGAATGAGAGGGCCCACGTGACAGGCGACCTTACTGGTGCTGGACCGGAGAACTCCCGGCTAGTTGTTTAAGTTGACTTTTCTGGGAGAGTTTGGCTGAAACTGTAATTAGATCAGATATTAAATCTAGGTTTAATATCATGGGCTTTTAGCATGAGGGACACCATTTTGGGCCTGTAGTTTTCTCTTTAAAAGGAAGAAGGGAAAATAGTACATAAAGGTGAAACCGACTACATTGGAATAGTTGTAATCCAGTTGTATGTTGGAGCCCTTAAAAAAGAATAGTCCCAGCCCTGACTGGTGGGGCCCAGTGGGCTGGGAGCAGTTGGGAGCAACAGATCAACCTTTCTCTAACATGTCAGTGTTTCCCCCCTCTCTTCCTCTTTTCCTCTCTCCCTAAAAATAAATTCTTTCAAAATCTTTAAAAAATTATAGTTCTGAAAATGCTATCAGATAAAAGTAATGCCTTATGGGGAAAAAAAAAAAAATAGCTCTGGCTGTTGTGGCTCAGTGGGTTGAGTGCCAGTCTGTGACCTGAAGGGTCACAGTTTGATTCCCAGTCAGGGCACAGGCCTGGGCTGCTAGCCAGGTCCCCAGTGGGGGGCGTGTGAGAGGCAACCACACATCAGTGTTTCTCTCCCTCTCTTCCTCCTTTCCCCTCTGTCTAAAAATAAAAATAAATGAATAAATATGGAGTAAGATGAGAGAAATGAGGGATGAAAAACACAACTGCTGCCCAGTCCAGCCCGCAGAAGTCTTCAGGACTGCTCCTGGTCTGGAAGGATGCGCACAAACACCTGGAAGAATAACCCGAGCTGTAGAAGTCCGCTTGATGGGAAATTTTTAAATTAGAAAGGCATTTTTCAAGATTTCAAATTAGAGCTGCTGCAAGTGATCTAATGAACTCATTTCCAATTTTATAAGTAAAACTCAGCAGGGGGGAAATTGGCTGCTTGGCCATATAAAGGACTCATAAAACACTAACTGTAAAATTCAAATGGAAAATTACACAGTGTTCAATGAAGAATGGGATAAATACGTATAATGTGAATGCATGTAATTAGGAGTGGCAGACAGACAGATATTAGGTTTCAGGTGTCTGTTAGCTGTTACTCTAAAGGCTGTGTCATTGCTAAAATATATTTATAGTTGCCAAGACAATATTTAGTAGGGCTTTTTTTTTATTAGTTAAATCTTAAAACAACGCAACAGATTTCACTGTTACTTCTGAGACACTTCCACTTTACTTCTTGCCTGCTGGGTGTGTGATTTTGCCAAGTCTTCAACTTCAAACAGAAGTATCGGGCAGATCCAGATTCTATGAACACTCACAACAGAAAAGTGAGTGGGAAAAAGAGAAGGGGTAGAGGATCACATTCAATTTATTAAAGAGAACTTATAGAGAGACACACCTTGCTAAATAACTTGCAAAGCTGACTTGGTTGGGAGCTGGGCCCAAGGAGTTGAATTTAACCCTGCTGTGCGCTGCGGGGTTGCGGGGAACAGGTACCTCAGTGAGATCAGGAACAGGTAAGTGACACACCGTGACACAAAGTGGAAAAAAAGTAGATTTTGAATGAACTTGGGAGAGAATTTGTGCTGGGCAGTTTTCCTTACCTGTAGAGCTATTTAATAATTGATAGCGGCTTGAGATGTGGAGCACCCAGCACAGCCATTAGGATCTGGTTTTAGCCGAATATCTGGCTTGCACAATAGGGTACAAGGGGAGAGGGGAAACTACAGCAGTCCCACTCTCCATTTCAAGCCCTTGAGAAAAAAAATTCAGCCTGAACGGTAGCTCATCCTGAGCCCTGCGTGCTGACTGGAGGCACTGCAGCCACCAGGGCCCCCTCGCCTAGAGGGGCGCCCAGGGCCTGCCGTCAGGAGTCTCCACGCTGATCACAAAGCTGCAGAGACAGGTGGGAAGCAGGGAGGCAGGGGAGGCTGGTTCCCGAACCAGCCAGACCCCATTAAAAAAGAGGAAAAGGATGCACATCCTGCTCTAGTTATTGTCTGGTATTAAAAAAAGTTATGCTGTGAGTCGAAAGATGGTAAATGAAAGGGTATACGTGTATATGTGTGTGTATATATGTATAAGTGTGTGTGTATATATATATGTTTGGTCTTATTTGACTTGCCTAAAATCCTTTCTGTAACATAAAACACCTCATTGAAATAAACTCGAGATCCAGTGGTTCCATTTCTAGGAATGTGTCCCGAAAAAGACCCAACCAAGGCTGCGTCTACAGAGATGCTCCCTGCAGGGTCGTTCACTATAGCAAGAAACTTGGAAGGAACTTGGGAACTAGTTAAACGAATGCTATATGCTACGGTATGCTGTGCAGGCTTAAGGGGGAGAAAGGTACTCTTTTACAGATTGAGAAAAATATCTGTGATACACTGAGTAAAAGAGGACTATTAAGATCTATATATAGTGTAACCCCATTTGGTAAAAACAGTATGTACATATA